TTGAGTGGCTTGTAGCTGAGGTGACCACGGAGACCCCACTTGTTTTTTAGGGCGCCGATCAGGCCCTCGTTGCTGTAGGGCAGTGGCGAGAAGTAGAGCCCTACAGCGATCCACCTGTACCGCATGGCCTCCCTCTCCTTGGTGAGGTCCAGCTCGACGATGTCGTCGACCCGAGGTGCAATGTTGACAGGGAACCTTGGGGCAACAACATCGCCGCCAGCCCCGTACCTTCTCATGTTCGCACGACCATCTTGGTTGCGGGAGGATTCCCCTCGGAGGAGCACCCTGGAGATGTTTCCACCACCGCCAGAGTGCGTCCCACCCATGCCGGCCTCCGCAGCGGCCTTGCCCTTCTGGTTCTCCTGGTTTTCCATCGATAGAGCAGGCGCACTGGCAAGACAAGGCTCAAAGGATTGTGTGCTCCTCTCATCTGCCTTGGGGCCTTTTAAGTCCATGATTTCTTGATCTGGATCCGATTGCTTCTGGTCGACTGATTTGATAGCAGTAATTTTCCTTTTATGTTGATCCCCTGTCACCATCTCGGATCTTGAGTGCCCTCCTCCTTTATCCGGTGGATCCTTGTCCGGCGAGTATGAGATCAGCATCCGATTTGGTTTGGCTTTCCTCTCCCTAGTCCATGGGCCAGATCCTCTCTCATTGTAGTCATCCTATCCCTGATTTTGGTCACCACATCATTTGCTGGATCAGATGGTTTCTCATCAGAAACCTTCCTTGCCCGTGCGATTTGATTCCTTTCCACCGCGATCCGCTTGATCGCTTTCCTTGTCCGCATCCATGCCTCCTGCAGGCCCAGGGGATCGCCTTCCTTCTGCATCTCCAATCTTCCATCACGCTCTGATCTCTGTCCTTCCACGTCGTATGATCTTCCGGTCTTCAGGGCCGGCGGGATCTCGCTCGAGAATCGCCTCCCCGTCGTCTCGACAGGGGCTCCGCAGTTTCCGCTCATGTTGAAAGTGGTATTTGCATTTGTGGCTACGTTGAAAGTGGTTGAGTGAATACATGCCAAAAATCATGTTTTGCACATAATTTGTTAGCTACATTGCACCATTGAGCAGTTTGATGTCTGGTGTTTGGTTGGCAACATTTTTGGGTTATGGATGTTAACATGCAAAACATGTCGTTTGGTTCTGCATGGCCTATGTTTATGATCACCTCTTCTCACCGGTGATGATCTTACCACACAACACACATGACAACTTGCTCTTCCATAGAGGTGTGGATGCTATTTTGTAGAAGCCCCCTATTCATAAACGTCTCTGCAAGCATGGCAGAAGGTGATAGTCGCACCTAAAGCATGTTCATAGCCTCTACATCGTTATTGTTGTAGTAGTTCAGATTCTTCATCTTGTCCCTATCTCAGATCATTCAACCATAACGGATGATATACTTATCATTCTGACGAACATCTCTTTTGTTGACCAATATGACCCGGGGCTGAATCACGGCTATCACAACAGTTGCTTGAGCAACTAGCTTCATTGTTTGTCCATAATGACCTAACGGCGACATCGATGTTGCAGTAAGTAATAGC